TCAGTCCTGGCCTCTCTCCTCAGGCTTGCCCTTTGGGCCCAGGGCAGTGAGTGTTTTCACTTATCTAGGATTACAGCCCAAGTCAACAATGGAACCAGGAAGTGGGCTCAGGACCAGCCCGGCATGCGGAGTGTGGGTGTTTACTCTTCTCTTCCAGCAAACTTTGATTTACTCTTTAATAAGTCACCGCCGAGGATGTGGCTCTGGAGAGGGTTAGCTTGGCACTCAAATCTAAGTCCCATGTTGATAAAGAGGGGAGGGCAGGCCAGTCCTTATGCTATTCAGCCTTATCATTAACCCTGAGTTTGGATTCAGGCTTGCTTTCAAAGGGCTAGTCTCTCAGCATTGGAGCAGGTGGCAATTCTCCATCAACCAGGTTTGGTGACAGCCTAAGCAGAAAGGAATTGTGACTGGCACAGAGCACAGTTGACACCTCTGGGATGGAGGATGGGAGACTTGAATGACTCTGACTTCAGACATCTTTGGCCTCAGTTTCCTCTGCTGTGAAATGAGAGTAGATAAAATAACAACAACAAACAAAACAAAACAAAACAAAACAAAAAAACAAATAGACCAAGTTCTTGGGTTGCTTGGGATCCAAAAAGGGAACAGATGAGAGGGGCTGGTGTGAAGGTGGTGTGTAATAAACACTGAAGCAGAGTGCCCTCAGGATTCAGTGTCACAAGTCACTAATGTGCTGAAGAATGTAGCTTCTGTCTTTTTTCCCAGAAATTTCTTCAGAGTCTCCCTTCAGGAACCAGAGTCAAAGACCTGTGTGTGTGTGTGTGTGTGTGTGTGTGTGTGTGTGTGTGTAGGTGTGTGTGTTACTGGGGATTGATAAAACACAGGGCCTTCAAGGACCTTTAAGGACTAGAGTCAAAGAAGTGTGTGTGTGTGTGTGTGTGTGTGTGTGTGTGTGAGAGAGAGAGTGTGAGAGGGAGAGAGAGCGGGAGAGAGGGAGAGAGAGAGTTGAGAGAAAGAGTGTGTGTGTATGTGTGAGTGTGTGTGTGAGAGAGAAAGAGTGTGTGTGTATGTGTGAGTGTGTGTGAGAGAGAGAAAGAGTGTGTGTGTATGTGTGAGTGTGTGTGTGAGAGAGAAAGAGTGTGTGTGTATGTGTGAGTGTGTGTGAGAGAGAGTGTGAGTATGTCTGTGTATGTACATGTGTATTACTGGGGATTGATTAATTGGGCACATGCTAGAATGTGTTCTAACATTAAGCTATATCCCCGACCCCCTCCCTACTGTTTACTTATCTATTTAATTTTTAAATATCTGAGACAATACTTTGTCTTGTTAAATGAACTGAGCAGGCTTTGAACTCATTGGCCTCCTACCTCAGCTCTGGAGTAGCTAGGGTGAAAGGCCTTCACTACCTGGCCTCACCTCCCAGGGAAAGGACTTGGGACTGGTTTCCAGGAGTGGGTGTTAGCTAAGGCTTTCCTTTCTCTTCTGCTGACAGCACTTCCTCATTAAATCCAGTCATCTGCAAAAACAGAACAAATTGTGAGAAGAAAGAGGAGGCCCGAGGACCCTTACCACACACTAAGGGTGACTCATGGAGACATGAGCAAGAGAGCAATCACCTTCTGTGCCTAGGGCATAAGAGAGGGGAGAGGGTCACCTAGGAGAACACAGAAGTGGGTATGGCGGGTCTGCCTTACATGCTGTCCCCCAGAGTTTAGAAGACAGTAATAATCCAGGCTCAAGGCCATGCTGTATTTTAGACTTTAAACTGCCAAACACTAGGAATTCCAAACAATGTTAGTGATAAAATCTCCTCCTCTGGGCAGCTGGCCCTTCTGCCCCTCTCAGGGCACATGGGTGAGTGGGGATAAAGACACAGAGACAAAGGAATCTAAGTTGT